AATTCCAACTCACAGCAACCCCATTGGACTTCCTAGCTATAAATCTTTATGGAAATAGATTGCCCGAACTTCCTTCCATGGAGTGGGTGGTGGGTTTGAACCTCACCACCAGGAAACCATTAATAAATAGCTTAACTTATGTCTGTTTCTTTTACTCGAATGTATAATGGCTTTAAAATAAATAAATGGACAGATATAACAATAACTTCAAAGAAGATCTAAAAGAATTCCTCCTTCTGCTTATAAAATGCTTTAAGAGTCTTAGATTGCATTACTGCAGAGTTCTAATTTAACAGGACAACCTTATTCGCCCCCCCGCACGCCCTCCCAACAGTTAGCTCTTCCCTGTGTCCATCCCTCCATACACCATACACTCCTGCCCCCTGAGCTGTCTCCCTGTGCATAAGCAGCCCTTCTTTCTCCCATGACTGTTCTCTTCAAGGAGTGTATCTACCTCAAGTAAATGTTCAACTCCTATGCCTGTCTTTTGTTTGGCTGGAAGTTATAGGTGTGGGTTCAATTCCAGACCTGAAGGGCGGCCAGGGGCCATAGTCTCAGTGGATCCACCAGGTTCTATCAGACCAGCAAACCTGCTCCCTTTTTTTCCCCCCCAAATGATTTTGAGTTTTGTTCCACATTGTTCTCGCTCTCTTATCTAAGATCTCCTAACAGGACAACTTTTTAAAAAAGTACTAACAGTCACTTCTTATTTTTTTTATGGCTCATTTACAATTGTTGCTGACAAAATACAAAGAGCCCATCATAAACATTATTCAGTATTACTTAGTTGGTATTTTTAATTAAACATAAAGGTGCATTTACAGGTTAAATAATTCTTCCTTTATTTCTCAAGTAGGTAAAAAAACTGTTCAGTAGTTCTATACATAACATCATATTGAAAATAAAAAAAATTTAAAAATTGCTAAAGTAACAGAACAGCTTATGAGTGAATAAACAAGTCCTTTATAAATTTAATTCAGTCATTTTGGTTTTATATAAAAAATATAATTAGAAGTTATCCCTGATATTCTACCTATAGAAATAATTATCTATTGACCACATCTCAAATGTAAAAGTCAGTATTACTTACAAATATTAATTACTACATAGGTGCTATCTTCTAAGTATCCAAATTCAAATAAAACTAGGTAAATCAAATCTCTTACCTAATATCTTCTGACAGGAAAGAGCAATCACTAGCTTCATAACTGTACACAATAGATCCAGTGAATTCTAAGAAGGGGAGTTCATCTTCAAAAATACTCTTCTGAACAGATGACTTGAGTTAAATAAAATTCAGAAAAAGGCACAAATAACGATCATATTAAAATACACTGAAGCATTCAAATTACAGTTCTAAGTTTTATCAATACTTAATAGACTAGTGAATTCATAAATACAATGTTACAGCAATAAAATCATCCTATCATAAATATTTTTCCTAACAAGTTTAGCTTCAAACCTCTAATCCTATTGTCATACAAGTATTTACTGAGTTGTTTTCAAATAAAGATAATTATATTAGTAGTCTAGAAATAACATTGCCTTAAAATGCTGAAGATTGGTGGATCCTAAATCTATGAGAACTTAAACTATCTTAACCATAAAAATTCACTAAAGTAAAACACTGTCTAGATTAGTACCTGAATTGAAAGAAAAGTAGCAAAATCAACCTTGCAAAGTGGATAGAAAGGGAAAGTATATTAAGAATTTTCATTTTAGAACTCGGGGAAAATTTATTCCATAATGATATTCCTTCTAACCCATAAAAGGGGAAAACAAGGAAAATAAAATGGAATTTGCATAAATGTTGCTAAACATACAAGATATTTTTAGGCATATGAGTTGAACATTTACCTGAAGTAGGTACACTCCTTGGAGAGAATAATCATGGGAGAAAGAAGGGCTGCTTATGGACAGGGAGACAGCTCAGGGAGCAGGAGTGCATGGAAGGACAGACACAGGGAAAAGGTTAACTGTCAGGAGGAAGTGGGAGGGGAGCTGTTGTACGGTGGTACATTGTGGTGAATGTCATGAGACAAAGTGTGTGTGAACCGCTGTATGGAAAGTGAATTTGCTTTGTAAATTTTCACCGAAATCACAATTAAAAAAAAATTTATTTAAAAAAATATATACTTTTAGGGTCACTATAATAAACTAGGGAGCTCTGGTGATGTAATATGCCTAAGGAATCTGACTGCTAACCAGAAGGCTGGAAGTTCAAACCCACCAGCCACTCCTCAGAAGGAAGACTGGGCAATGTACTTCCGCAGAGATACCACCTCAGAAACCCAAGGAGGGGTCGCTATGAGTCAAATCAACTAGATGGCAGTGGGTTTGTTTTTTTTCGTTTATAATAAACTAAACAACAAAGAGTAAATGAGCAAGTCATTAACCACACTTATGTCTGAGATTAAACATAAAATCTTACCAGCTGCGGGAAAAAAAAGAGAGAAGACAACTCTCATTTCTCACAGATTTATAGGGTGTCTTATCTTCATGTTTATTAGCACTTGATTTAATTCAGTACATAAATTGTTTTCACCTATAAAATACATCTTTTCCAGAATTGAAAATCATATGTGACCCCTCACAAGTTATTTAGTCCCATATTGTCTTTTTTTTAATGTATTTTATTGAAATATAATTTACATACAGAAAATACACAAAACTAAAGTGACATGGGTCAATGCATTTTTTTTTGCAGTGTTCCTTCCCCTCCCCTCCCACCCTGGCAACCAAAAGAAACTTTCTCTCCATATATAAACCTTTCCTTGACCCTCCACAACAACATACTATTAATATATTTGTCCTTCTGTAATTGACTTCTTTCACTCAGCATAATGTCCTCCAAGTTCATCCATATTGTGTGATGTTTTGCAGACTCTACATTATTCTTTGTTGCTGCATAGCATTCCAGTATGTGTATGTACCATGGTTTGGTCATCCACTCTTCCACTGATGGGCATGTAGGTTGTTTTCATCTTTTTGCTATTGTAAATAGCACTGTAATGAACATAAGTGTGCATGTGTCTGTTCCTATCCTGGCTCTCACCTCTCTAGGATATACACCTAGTAATGGGATCACTGGGTCAAATGGTATCTCCAATTCCAACTTTCTAAGGAATAGCCATATTGCTTTCCACACTGGTTGTGTCACTTCTCGGTCACATAAGCAGTGTATGAGAGTCGCAATCTCTCCACATCCCCACCAGCATTTGCTATTTTCTGTCTCATTGAACCTTGCCATCAGTGCTGGGGTGAGATAGTACATCTCATTGTTGTTTTGATTTACATCTCTCTGATGGCCAATGATTGTGAGCATCTTTTCATGTATTAGCTGACCACCTGAATATCCTCCTTGGTTAAGTGTCTACTGATGTCTTCTGCTCATTTTTCAATTAGACTGTTAATTCCTTTGGTGTTGAAGCACTGGAGTTTTCCATCAATCTTAGAGATAAGGCCCTTGCCTGATATGTAATTATCAGCAAATATGAATTTGTTGCTGTCATTTTCATCATGTGCTTTTTCATTGTGTCGATTTCTTTGTTCCATATAATTTTCTATGCTGAGCTCATTTTGTTTATGAATCATGTTATCACTTTCTTCATTGCTATTGTTTTAGTATTTGCTGAATATTTATACTAGTCCTCTTTTTTATTTTGATGTGAAGGTTTATCATTTTTCTTTGAGGTTACCCTGTCATTTATAGTTTTCTTCCCAAGTCTAGAACAGTCCATTCTATCTTGTAGTTATCTTGACTTCCCTACCATCTAGAAGTTCTGTAACAACACAGAGATTTTTTTCCCTCTTTCTGGTTTGCAGTTGTCCTCATTTGTCAGTTGGTGTCTCTGGTTCCCTGTTTACAATCTTGTAGGTTTATTTACTTTGGATACTTCCATAGCTGGGTTGGTTTCTGGGTTATATCATCATGTGTGTTAACGGTCAGTTGTTATTGGCTATTGTTGCTTCTCTGGCCAAAGGGCTCCCTTTAGCATCTCTTGTATGGTTGGTCTGGTTTTAACAAATTCCCTTAATTTCTGCTTATCTGGAAATGTCCTAATTTCACTATCATATTTGAGGGAAAATTTTGCTGGGTACATAATACTTGGTTGGAAATTTTTCTCCATCAGTGTTTTATATATATCATCCCACTGTCTTCTCTCCTGCATGGTTTCTGTCAAGAAATCCAAGCTTAGTCTTATTGGTTGCGCCCTGTAGGTAACTTTTCGTTTTTCCCTGCTTCTCTCATGATTCTTTCTTTGTCTTTGGTTTTGGTGAGTTTGATGATGATATGTCTTGGTGTTTTTCTCTTAGGGTCTATCCTGTTTGGGGTTCATCAGACTTCCTGAATGGATATATTCTCATCTTTCATCATTTCAGGGAAGTTCTCTTCCAACAAATCTTGGACAATTTTCTCAGTGATTTTATTTTTCTCTTCCTATTCTGGAATTCCAACAACACGTAAATTATTCCTTTTGATGGTATCCCACATGAACCTTAGGCTTTCTTCATTTTGCTTTGATCTTTTTTCTGACTGATCCCTTTCCAAAGAAGTATTCAGGTATTTGTCTTTAATCTCATCAATTCTGTCCTCCATTGCATCAATTCTACTCCTTTGCCCTTTCACTGTGTTATCTACTTCTGACAATTTAGTATTAATCTTCTGGATTTCTATCTGTAGATTTAGAATCATTTCTAATTTTTCATTTA